GGCCTAGACGGACTGCTGCGGGTTGCTGGACGCACAATCTAGGTCTAGGCACCAGACTACTGAAAAGAGGGCCTCCTGGTCCGACCTAGCCTAGACCTATGAACGTCCATACTACTAGGCCAATTGTCTGAAAATGGACTCGATCGTCCCTCACCCGCTCGTAGCAGCAGCACAAGAGAAAACATAAGCTAAGCCCAAGCCTGCTCGCCTTGCTAAATTCACATTGGTCACACCATGGAGAAAATAAACTATTTTATTTTCTCCATGGTCACACAGTGTAGTGTGATGTTTTTTGGTAGATGGCTTAATTATACTAGACGTCACCATATACAAGCCACGCCCCCTCGGCTGAACCCGTTGTATTTAGCAACTACCTGTTTTTACACCTAGCACTAGGACACGCGCCTGTGAAAATAGAGGGCAGACACTCTCACAATTGTCGTCGTTTGTTGATCGTCATGGCAAGTGGTAATTGAAAAAAACTAACTTTTATGGTTGATTATAACCCTAAGAAAATTACCCTTACTTTAATATCAATGTAGGCCTATGAAACTATTAGGTGGCACTGCTGGCAGTAAAAAGTTCAAGTTGATCAATTAAAAATCAAGATCAAGGCAGACGTGACGTTTGTGTCACCACTTGTGTTTTGTGCTGCTGCTTGAGTTTTGCATGCTACTTATGCTGCGTTCATTAGAATTTGTGAAGTCGGTGTTCCCATTTCACAACTTGTGAAACGCGTTCATCTCGTTGGTGAACTTGTAAACACAAGCTGTGAACTCGAGTAGAATTTCTTCCTCGATTTGCACAAGTAGTGTGGAAAATGGCGGATGTAACACAAACTATGCACAACAAGCATAGGTATTGCAATTTGTTTATCAAGTAATATTATTTCAGATAAAAAAGGAGTGTTGTTTGTATGTTTTATTTGCAACCCAACATACTTATTACAATTAATTTAAATAATATTATTTCAGATTAAAAAAAAGTTATTTTATGTTTTATTTCCGAACACATTGCAAAAGTGACAGCAGCCATTTTAACGTTCGTAAAATGAATGCACTCTTCTTGTGTACTCGCATGTTAAAAGTTGTGAAATCAGTTTTCACAAGTTTCTTTTGGCGCTCCATACTCAGAGGACGATTCTGTTTCTGAATTTTACTTGGACTTCCATTCCACCGCCGCCTTTTAAAGGTAAAATCGAGTTAACAACTGTGAATTCACATAAAAACATACAGATTTTCATTCCTTCAGGGAATCGATTGTTTTGTGATAATATTCTTTTGTGATTTTGTGTAATTATTAGTGCAATTTTATCTCGGATATTTTTGACTAGGCCGCAAGGTCAAAAGCTCAGTTGGCAAATACCTCGTCAGTTGTGAATGTGGAATGCCTGGATTTAAAGGAATGTACTTCTGTTGACACCAACCTTGGCCTAAGCAAGGTAGACTACTTCTATTTCGCTTTAATAATAACACAGCAACAACAATGACAATTTCAACAACCCAGTCATATGGTATAATATAATACATACTCCAAGATCGAAATGCACGCCATCGTGTCGGGATTCAATAGGCATACACTGTATGCCATATAATAGGCATATACTGTATGATACAGTATACAGATACAGTCACATTAATTAACACTGTTAAATTGTATATAGCCTAGGCCTATAAATCATCAAAAAAAAGGGTAAATATTATGTTCGAATATCATGTTGTTCGAAAACACTCTATTTACCTTTCTTTGATTGTTTATAATCTGACATCGTTATAACAGTGGTAATGGCTATCTTGATTTATATTACAGTTTGCAGCTACATATTTTTTTTTTTCATCCAGCCGTACCTAATTGTGTAATAGAGTGTAACTGGCAGTTATTTGAATCTGTTCATCCTTGTAATCTCTGTGGTCTAATGGTTATGACGCTCGCCTCGACAGCCATCATAGGACGCGGTCCTGTAAATAAATACATTGTGTATCCTACAGGATTCAAACCTGCGACCTCTTGCTGTGAAGCAAGGCAAGCGTGATAATAACCATTAGACCACAGAGGCTTTGTGGTTTAGACTTAGTTGAACAGATTCAAATAAATGTCGGGTACATTGTATTACACAATGGTGGGCCTTGAGATCTGGAGCTGGAAATAAGAGTATATGTCAGGAAGTTATATTTTGTCCTGTTTATTTATTTAGTTATTTATTTGTCTGTTGGCATATTTGTTGTGAACAGCCTACAGCCCATAGTTTTTATCAGAAATTCATCAAACTTGGCCACAAGTGCTTATACAGGATTGTCAGTAAAGTGTAAACAAACATATTACCATTAATTTCAAATTAACAGTTTGGTGTAGTGGTTAGAAGAGTGTTTTCCACACTACCAGCCCTGGGTTCAAATCCCAAGGAGTTTACTTGTTTTTTTCTTCCATTATTTTTTTCATGCGGGGGAAATTTGGAGTTTACTTGTTTATTTTCTTCCATTATTTTTTTTTATGCGGGGGAAATTTATACTGAGGAGAATTATGATGTGGGCAGAGGTATGCACTCTCCGAGTGCCCTCTAGTTTTTAATAATCAACATTATTAATGATCAACAGATGTCAGTGAAGCATAAATGTGAGGATCTTCCTGAAGGTTGGGTTGTAAAAATGTCAAGAAGCCGGGGTGTACAATACTACTTTGACACCCATACGGGGCAGTCATCATGGAAGAAACCAACTGCCAGTAGTATAAAGGTAAGCCTATAGATGGGATTTAACATATTTTAAGATGGCATTTTGAGGGGAGAAGTACAGCTTTCTGTGTTTCAATGTTTTTTTGTTTTAATGAAATGTTTCTCACTTTGTTATTTTTTTGCTGGGATGTGTGGAGGACCAGGGATTTTATCCCTGAGCAGTCCCCCAGGATAAATAATAATTTAAGAACTGGTTCATTTCCTTAAGTAATATTTTCATTCGACTGGTTTGTAAAACAGACTTCGCTGACAACGAAAATTAATGTAAACCAGAGTACGTTAATCAGCGTTAAGTTATACACGTGACCAAACCAAACATGGCTGATTGGTCAGTTTAGCAACAGCATTTGCGTTAATTTGATTTAGATTAAATTTCAGAAAAAGAAAATTATAATATTTACCCACATGAAGTCAAAAAATAATAACAGAATTCAAAAACTGGATGAAAAAATTTTTTTACGAAAAAACCATACTGCCACAAGCCGAAGCAAACTTGATTACGCAGCATGTATCGCAATAACTATGCAGCCATTTTGTTTTGTTGAGTATTTACCAGTTTTCTATTCGACTGGTCATCTTCGTTAAAGTACTGTAGGATTTTACCACTGTGCAGGTGGGCGTGGTTTAATGAAGAACAACCAGTCGAATACTTTCATTTACATAGTACCATTCAGTTTTATACAAAAATGTAGCCTACGTCTTTAGTTCTTTTCTTGTAATATCTGGAACAATTCCTGTTCAGATGGTGCCTTATAAATTAAATTAAATGAACACAACGAATATGCATTGTAAGTTGTAACACAACTAATAAATGTTTATGTGCAAAAAGGAAGAATGTTTGAAAAGAAAACTATAAAAAATTTGAAACTATGATTATTCTATTCAAAGCCAAATTGCTTCATTTAAAAAGAAATAACCTCATTTCTTTTTCTAGGTATCAAATGAAATGGCAAAGAGAAAATGTCAAACTGAAAAATCTTCTTGTGATCAATCAGCCAAAGATAAAAATAGTTCCTTTCTAAACAAAATGAAAGGAGAAATAAAGAAACATAGAGAAACTTACAGTAAAATTTCTCAAATTCGAAAGAAAGCTCAAGATGTGCAACAAAAAGAAATGGAGAAAGCAATGCAGAAAGTAGCTAAATGGAAGAAAAGCATACAGAACAGTTGTGGTAAAGCCCCAGCAGAAGCAAAACTGATTGCAAATGTAAGAAAGAATAGCATGAACGATGTTGATGTTATTAAGATATCTCAAAAACAAGAAGAAAAGTCGAAATCTGGTGGAGAGAAGAAACAATTTCCAAAGGGTACCACTTATGAAAGAACTGAAGTAAAAAAAGAAGTTGCAGAGAAAACAGTACCAGAACAGAGCAATATTAACACAGAAACAGGAAAAAGGGGAAAGAAAATGAAAAAAAAGAAAAAACTTTGTGAAACTACAATTTCACAGAAAATTCATAGCATAGCAAATAAAGAAAAGATGAAAGCATCTACTCAACCTGCAAAGAAAAGTCAAACCATAGCTACCGTGAATAAATTAAATACACAAGCTGTTCGAGAAAGACTGAGCAACAGTCTGCCATGTCTAGATGTAAGACATAATCAGTTAAAAAATATTAACAAAAAACTTGCTAAAGGACAACCATCTGAAGCAGTTGTATCATCTACCATTTCTGATGCAACTGAGGGTAGTAAGTCAATTATTGCAACACCCACCACTTACAGTATGGCAACAAGTGATTCTGCAAACTCTGGAATGACAAGTGTTTCAAATGAAGTAGATGATAATGCAGAAGATGATTGTATGATGGAGGGTATTGAGGGTAAATATAATTCATTTTCACTTGTTTAAATTTACTGAGAAAAAATATAATGTAGGAGTGAGTTCTAAATAGCTTGGTGCTTAAGATACTCACCTTCCAATTCCAGCGTTCTGGGTTCAAATCCTGCCAGATATCAGGGGTGGCGCCAGCAAGTGGGTGGGGGGCAGGATCCCCTTTAGAGAGAGCTGGCCCCATTCGGGTAGAAAATCCACAATTTGTCGGAGAGAAAAAAAAATATAAGCCTTTGAAGCCCCTAAATTGTCAAAATTTTTGGGGCTTCGCCCTTAGACCACTTTGTTCTCTTCGGTGGAATCTTCTCCCTCTCCGGCATCAGCCCCACTGTCTGGGAAATCCTGGCACCACCCATGCCAAATGCCATGGTTTTTCTCATGGCAAAACAACTCCACTGCACACGCCTTGTTATGAGAATTTATGTAGAGAATCTTGTGAATATAATTGTCATGTGAAGGTATTGCCACCAGCCAACTGTATCTAATATGACAGCGATTAAGTTTCTGATGGTAACCCTTGGCCAGAAATTGAACTGAAATAAAATAAAACAATACTGTTAGGTGAGACTTTTTCTATACCTTGTTTAGCGAACGCACCACCCGCCAATAATGATGATTTCCAAAAAAGAAAAAAAATTATTTTTGGCCAATTAGCACACCTGCCTCCATGAAAACAGAAATAAAAAAAAAAATAAAGTTTTTCTTTATTTTTCATTACGCCTTCTGCTGCCATGAATCTCCAAAAATAAGATATGTATATTCCTTCCTAATTATATAAATTTGAAGCATTAATCCTTCTCATTACTACTCTGTTTGCATTCAGCAATAAAATTTTATTTTTATTTTCTCCCCCATCTCATTTTTTTTGGCAAAACTATTTGCTAAATAAGAAAATAACATTTTATTTAATTTTTTTTTTCTGCCCTACTTTGATGATCTTTAGAAAAATAAGTATTCGAAACAAGGTATTAAAAAAGTCTTGCCTTAAGAACATTGGCACATTAAGCCTCAGATCAGCTTCAGAATGGCACAAAATGTAACAATTTCTTCTAGCCCCAAAGAGCTTCTTCCAGCCCTGTGCAAGGCACTGACTCTTATTAGCTCTTACAAAAAACCCAATATAATAACTGAGTCTGTACCGTATTTACTGTAAGCGTGGAGGAACACGCGGATTGGTGAGCGGTCGCTTTTCAGACATCCTGTTTTACCACTCCTTCTCTTCTTATACACATCTAGATGTGTATAAGAGACAGATATTCTAGAACCACCACTGGTTCTGAACTCAGTTTAAAGAGCAATTTATTTTTCTTTAGGTAAACGTATTGTTTTTTGTATTTATGCAGTTACAGATCCTACAGATGTATACCAAATCATTGATGACATTCATATGGAATTTCAAGAAAAGGTTTAAATATTTTACTGACTTTTGGTTTATTTTTTGATTTACAGTATGTATCGTATTTGTTAAGTTTCATATAACACAATGTCATTCAACATAATAAATGCAATTATACAATATTTCTACAGTTTCGGCCTGTGTATGTGGTCCTTGATACCAATGTACTAATTTATGACTGGAAGTTTTTGAAACAAAAGACAAATGCAGATTCATCAGGTACCAGTATATGTTTACATAGTATTTGTTAGGAATGCCAGTCAATTTGCTCCCCCCCCCCTGAAGGTCTCCCCTACAAAGCCACCCCTACCAAACTAAAGAAGAATATTTATTAACTAACCTTTTAAAATACTAACTTTGATGGTAAGTGTCTAAAACTATCTAGTTCTAAAAAGAAAATATTGAGCTAGTGTAATCAGCACATTGCTGCACATTAGATCTGTACCACATTCATGCCACAGTAGGCCTACATGTATGGCCTTACATCCGTATATATCGATATAAATCATGGTATAATATAGATACAGTAAACTCTAGACCATCTTGCCATAATGCTATAATTATATATTACTTTCTTATATATTGTTTATTCACTTAAAATATATAATTTAATATATTTTACATATGTTCTGTATTTTTGTTCTGTCATTTTGCTCTAACCTGGAATCCTAAACTATTTTGTCCAGGTTTGTTTTGGCACCCCTTCAGCTCACTGCCTCGGGCATGTGCCCTGTTCTGCACTCCTGTAGTGATAGTTACGCCTCTGCTTACAATACTGTTCCTCAGCAGGATCAAGAATTGTTCTTTTAATTATGATTTTTGACTGTTAAACTTTTATATCCAATGTTTAGAGTGCGCCTATGTGTGTTTTATTGTTCCTTGGGTTGTGATACAGGAGCTAGATTCTTTAAAACAAGCCAAGAGGTCACCGTCGCTAACAACAAATGTCACCAATGCCATCAAATATGTTAACCAAGCCATAAGAGAAAAGCATCGTATGATTGGCCAGTCTATCCAAGATGTGAGTGTGTAGATAATGATAATGCTAAATATTGCTGCAGAAATGGGAGATGCAGTGAGCATCATCTTTTGGTGCTGCACCCTACGGAGTCTTTCTCTCTCTGTGGGTTTCACTGCACTGGAAGGACTTGCTCTTTGGGAAATAATGCTAACAACTTCTGGGGCGGATGCAGGATTTGTGGGTAGGGGGGGCGTAAGTGTGCACACTACCTTAATCACACCATAGTTGGGGCTGATGTGAGAAAAATTGTGTCTGCCTGGAAATTGCACTCATACCAGATTTAATTAAATTTTTTTTCATATCAACAATACAATACAAAAATTGTTTTTCTTAATACAATTTAGAGGGGTGTGATCCCACTGTCTGCACCCTCCTACAGTAAATTGAATTGGACTAAAATTGTTCTCTTTATTTTATAGACAACACTAATTCAGGAGTTTGATATGAAAAACAATGATGATAAAATTTTACAGTGTTGTCTGCAGTACCAACAAAGAAGTAAGTAGTCTATGTTGTGTAAGGTGGGGGATATGCAGAGGTGGGGGATATGCAGTGGTGGCACTAGCGTGAGGACGCCACCTCCCCTTACTCCCTATTCCCTGTTGGACAGGTCTGGACCCCAACACAGGGTCCAAAAATAATAATTTGCCTAGCCAAATAACGTTATTTTGATTGCCAATCCCTAATATTGTGGTCTAAAAGCACAATTTGGGCCATACTACTGTATGCCATATAAACTCTTTTCATGAAACCAAGAATGTAGTCCACAACTTGGTTTGAACCCCCTGTCAGATCACTCTCGGCAAGTTTCTAAAGCGTCTGGTGATACAGTAAGTACGCAATTAGTACAGTGATTTGAGCCTTCATTCTAAGACAAGGTTTTGAATGCTAAACTGACCATTGAACATTGCTACAGTATTGAAGTAGTAGTGCTACTGTGCAGTATGTAACACCATATATTGTTTTAAAAACACTACTGTAAATGAAGATGCACTATATTTTAATTTCATGTTAAATTCTGTTTAAGTGTTTAAATTAATGGATATCAACATAGATATATTGTCAAATAAATATCTTACATGGCATATAAACATACTTATGAGTACTGAACATTTGTTTTTTGCAGTAAAGAATGGTAGGCTTGCGCTCTGTACCAATGATATCAACCTACAAACCAAAGCTATGGTGTCTGGTATCAATGCATTTTCCCAAAAGGTATGATACTGGTGTAGATGCCTGTGTGGTGTCGGTGTTGAAAGAATAATGGTTCAGATGTGCACTAGTTTGTTTCTATTGCTGTTGAGACTTATCCATGTTGTGTCACACCACCCAGGGGTATACAACAAGTGGAATTATATCCAAGTCCTTTTCTTGTTTCATAGTTATAAATTACATTGGGTTTTAATTGTGAAAAATGTGACTTAACTGATGATGTTAATAGACCTAAGCAGTAGGAGTTTATATAGAAATTTTATTTATGCATTTTTTAAAGAAATTATGTTTATTTATGAAATGGTATATTTACATAAAATAATTTACATGTATTTTAGTTTCACATAATTCTATAATTGTATAATTAAAATTTTATTTAATTATACACTTGATTCAATAATTTATTATTATATCAGTGAGACACATTACATCAACAATATTAGACAATTATGAAATAGCTCTATTGTTTTCGTGTTTATTCCTAGTGGAGTTGTTTTTTACACTGGGGTGTTTTCTTACTACAGAAGCCTGAACAAATGCAAAGTTATTTCTATAAATGTGTGAAATGAATTTATTTGTATTTTCTAGGATTTTATGAAAGAGATAGAGAAGCTGCAAGGTAGTGGGAGTGTTCTACCAGGTGATATGCAAATTCAGTCTGTTCATTGTTACAATGATACTGCACTACCACTTTCTACCGATCCTGGAACTGCTAGCAATTCTCAAGTGGTAAGCATATTAACAGTGCATAGTATGTACCTAACCTTGATCTACCTTGATACCGAGACTTCTGAAGCCAAAGCTTGTGTCTTTTGGGGTGTATCCTCCTTCAATTCGTACATATGTCGAAAACTTTAGCGGGTGACGACGCCAATGCTTTTCCAAACGGGATTTAAATTGATTTAAATTGTCTGCCTCAATGAAATTATTCTAGATGTTGCACACAGCATTTGTAAAAAATTTCTGCCGCACTCTCTAAAGTTTATCATTAATTAGGATCATCAGTAGATATTGTCAGTATTATTTGTTATCTTGAATAATGAAAAGAAATAATTAATGTACTGTAGTTTTAAATAGAGACACTGTATGGTACTAGAACTAGTATGAGCATTTTATAATGCACCTCTTCCTTGTGGTTGAAAAGCGCTGTTCTTTTCCCTGGTCATTGGGTCCACATGCTAAGTGTTGCTGCTGGTAATCAGCACAGGAACAGGCAACCCCACCAGCACTGGGAAGCAAACAAACATTTTTTTTTAGGCCTTATATTGAAACTTTCTGTTGTTCAAAATCTTGATATTTATGTAACTATTCATTTTAGTTAAGTTTACTAGAAATCGAGGAAGAGATGTTTTGTGTGCTGAAGAGTGCACTCTCAGTAGCCTTGGAGACAGAGATGAAAGACGTTTATGATGAACATTGGTAAGTTGATCTGGTGTCAAGTTAATGACTTTTCAAACAACATTCTGCAAGCAAGCAGCATAAACAATAAAATATGTGCTGAAGCACTTAATAATGGATCTTTTTCTATCGTAAACATCCTCAATAAGAAGTTTCCAAAAACCGAAAGGTCCACTGAATAATTTCAGGTAAGAAAGTATAATACATACTCCAAGTATTGAAATGCACACCAGCCAACGTGTTTGGATTCAACATTTTCGACATTAAGTATGTCATCATCAGGAATGAAGTTTCCAAAATAAATATTCTGTCAAATAGGCCTTTCCACAAAGCCCTGGATATTGTTGCTAAGTTCGCACAAAGCAATGGCATTAAGAATACGTAAACACATGCGTTTGTTTGACATGTATTTTTAGCCCTGTTCTTATTGGTTGGTAAAGTTTGATTGACATATTGGATAGGTCCATTGTTGAAGACCTCAGTCCAATGCTTATATGAATTTGGTGCTTATGTGAGAACATCGTTTATTCTAGATTTGCTCTAGATTACAAATTATCAGGGTTTTGTTTTCTGTGTTACCCTGTCTTTTTTAAATGGTACTATTGTATTGTTATTTGCAAAATGTCACTTTTGTTTATTCTATGAAAAATGTGGTTGTTTATGTATTCAGAAAAATAATCTTTTTTCATCCTAATTATTTGGCAATTTCCTTATTTAGGAAAGACATTGTGATTGTAAAACCTCCATGGTCTTTCAAGGATGTCATGGTGTGTTATGATAAGTAGGTAAAACCTTTTACATGTTAAATTGTAACAATATTCTAATCAATTTCAGACTTGTTCATGTATAGTCAGATCCCTCTTGAAAATTTAAAAAAATTGCATTATTGGAATTGTTTTAATTATTTGATAGGATGTATATAGTGCACATATCCAGAAAACTGTTTATCGTTCTTTTCCTTGGTCATTGGATACAGAATCGATCACACAGAATGCACATAAAGTGCCTTGCCCAAGGACGCAAGCAGTCTGATGTGCATCGGTCTCAAACCCCGACCTTCTGATTGAAAACCCAATGCCTTTCACACTGTGCCATATGCTTCTCTCTTATACACATCT